TCATGTAGTTTCTTTAATTGTATTGATTCTATATTCAAGGTGCTTTCAAACTTTTTAATGCCAAAGTACCCACAAAGATGATAATCCCCTGGTGAATCATCAAGAAATGTTGTGTGGTGTATGGTAGCAATAATTGGTATATATTTTATATGGCCAGCTCAAATGTATTTATTTAGTTAGTGGTCTAAAGTCCCATTTTTTTCTCTCTCTCTGAAATTTTCCGTTGACTCCATAGCAGCCCCTTGGGGGTCCCTGTTCCTCAATTTGAAACCCCCTCCCTGCTTTAATCCAAGCAGATGTTTGTCTTCTGCAATGTCACTAAAATAATAGTGTTTCTGGATATCCTTAAATTCTAACAACCTTCTTCTCTCCATAACTTTGTTTGACTAGTACTGTCCCATATTCAAGTTTTCACCTAATGAAGATAAACTAGGTAATTACGGGTTTGGCAGAGTGGAAGAATGCAGTGTTATATTTATCCGTTTTGACAGTATGGGGTCGGATGTGTAAGGGCAGTCTGAATCTATAGGATAGAATTTCCTGGGTAGTTCCTCTTCGCAACAGCTGCTATCTGGGACAGTCATCTGTGGGACAGGTCCTCAGGTGATGTGCTGCAGATGTGGCTAGATAGAGCAATCTATTTTCTCTTTTACAGTGTTAAAAGTATATAGCACATGCATCTGCAAGCTTTCTTCATAGAAATATCTGTATAGCACTGTTAGTGACAGGCTTTCTGTGCAATGTGGATCAAACTCTCTGGGCAGATACCAGTATTGTACAAAGAGGAAGATAAATATGGTGATATTTAATTACCCATTTTAGAAATTCATTAATGTTTGTCCAAATAATGGTAATTTAGTATATAATTCTGGCTGGTGTTAATATTGAACACTTCACCTTTCTTATTTGAGAAAAATCTTTAATGACCCTTATTGTTTGGTGAGGTGCTTAAGTCGTCGTACTTAACCATTAATTTATAGTTGTCTTTCGATGTCACTCAAGATAATTGAAATAGCACTGCAGTAAAAAGAGTAAACTTTCGTAATCTGTCTTAGTCATGTTTGCTCTCTGTGAAATTACTTGAACATCAGGGCAAGCACCTACAGCTCTTTTTCTGTAGAGGAAGGTCCGTTGCCGTAATGCAACTTTTCGTAAAACACAGAGTATTTAATGTGTAGCATTATTGCCTGACTCGAAATGAACACCGTTACTGAGAGTTTCTGATATTATCATCATTCCGTGAGATGATATTGTCCAGAGAGACTGAGCGTGAGCTCATGAAGCTCCGCCCCCTGTGCCCAGTACAGCAGCAGCTTATTTGCATTTAAAGGGCACACACTAAAACAGCGTGTTTTTCTGAGCCCACAAAAATGACAGTTTAAACATGCTGTAAAAAATGATCTGTTGGGTATTTTGAGCTGAAACTTCACATACACATTCTGGCGACATCAGAGACTTATTTTACATCTTGTGAAAAGGGGCATACTACGGGACCTTTAAAGCATTATAGTGCTGTCGAAAAAGCATTTATTTAAAATACAAATCTGATCATCTCAAATGACTCCAATATTACATAATATGTATTTCTATACCACTTTGTATCTCTATACCACACCTACAAGTCACCATGTGGAATTTTCAATCATGGTGAGGGACCAAGATTGGTGGTTTCTTTAATGGGGTGTCTCATAGAGGTTCTTTGCCCTTTCTGGTGCAGCTGCATGCTGAGGCTTTCACATTCATGACTTAAAAATGCCTAAAATACTTCTGCAGAGTATCTCAGACCCTGTTGTATTATTATACATGTTTAATTAGAATTACTCACACCTAGTTACACAAAAAATATGCAACAAAAGCATCTTCTTATTTTCTGTGTGTGACATTAAGATATTGGATTTGTGCCTCATTTGTATTATATTTTTATCTCATATATTTTGTGAATTTGTTTTATCCTCTACACGTGTACTACCGATGTGCGTCCTTGTGTTTTCTGTGTGCGATTAGCCATGTTCATCTGAGCGTGATGTCGTCACCGCTCTCCTCTGTTCTCTGCAGTTACGTCACATCTCCATAGTAACTTCCTGCCTCCCCCCACATGTGTGTGTGCAGTGTGCATTCTGGCTCGCTGCACAGGTAATGCCATTTCTGTGCAGCGTGTCAGAGAGAAACACAATATTTCCAATGAAGCTTGCACAATGAGCCAGAGCTTTGCTCACTCTAATGGAGTTGGTACATTCCTCTCTAACATGTGTTTGTGGATGGAATCTTCATGGTTAATTACTTAGCCACTTTGTTGCATTTTTGCCCAGCAGAGTGAGAAATAAAGACTGGGGTCAAATTCACTAAATAGTAGGACCGTTTTGCAGAGCAAAAACTACACACGCCATATTAATTAATCACCAACAGTCCAGTTTACCAGGTTCTAAATGTAATAAGTTATGGTTGTACCATATCTTCATCTGTCTTGATCATTCAGCATTATAATATAAATCACATTTGAGTAATAATATCAAGTCTATTCCCGAAGTACAATAAGCGTATCGTCCGAACACTCGCTTAAACAGCATACACAAGGGACAATTGGCGGTGGACATTATTGACATTATTAATACTGCAATAGTAATGCAACAGACTGGTCTACCAGTTTATTAAGCCTGGGGTAGTTGTGGCCTAATGATAAGACAGTCAGACTTACCTAACCGCCAATCGCTCCCGGGGCGCCACAGCAAAATGGTTGCCCACTGCTCCAGGTGTGTGTGTCCAAGGTTTGCAGTGTGTGTGTGTGTTCACTACTCACTGCTCCTATTGTGAGTGCACTATGTGGATGGGTTAAATGCAGAGGACAAATTCCAAATATTGCCCTTCACTTGTCACTTTCTTTTTTTTTTTATTAAATAAAAAGGTTATTAAGTTGTTTACACTGTTCCTTACATGAAATTAGTACAAAAACCTGCCTTGTGCCTACCTTACACAACACCGAAGGTTGAACGGCACTCAGGAGAGCAGACAAATTCTTTCTACGCACACTGCAACGTTCACAATATGATGTCACACTTCATGCGTATGTTTTAAAAAAACAGCCTACTTTAACAATAACATTTTTTTAATAGCTCACTTAAAGTGTTTATTACAAATACTGTATATCTTACAAATGAATAAAAGTAAATGAACAAACATTTTCGTTTTATTTACAATCCTGTGAAAACAGGAGGTTATAACTTCCTGCACTTCTGATTCAGATTATGTGAGCATGTTTGTGCCACTACCTAATTTACATAATTCCTTTAGTGAATCACATGCTAAAACAACTATTGTGTTTGTGTATTCACAACTGTTCAAATAAGCAGATCAATTAATTCTTAGTGAATTTCCCCCAGAAAATGGGGATCATATTCAGATAAACAGTGTGGCTCAGTTTTGTATTTAGCTTGCTCATCTCTCATGTCCCAGACAGATCGATGCTCTTTCTTTACTATGGGGAAGACAAGGTGTCACATTTTCCAAAAGTGTCACAACCGTCTTCTCTTCACTACATGATTTTTTTTGACATCTCAGGGGGTGATGAGTTATGAAACAGTTTTTCCTAGGAATGTCAGTTCCTGGATCAGGTTTTTTTTGTTGATGAAGACAAACTCAAGTTTCCCATCGGTGCCAAAGAAGAAGAACAGGGTGTTCTGACACTCTCAACCAGATCCCAGTTCTATATCACTGTATCACATCACAATGTCAAAATGCGTCACGTCATAATGCACCACGCAGCCCCGAAGCCCCATCTTGAGTGCTGTTTTTTATCAATATAGAGGTTTTATTTATAGCGACTGGAGCGGTAAGTGGGGGCCAATGCTCTGAAAAGAGTTGCTCGGAAAGACGGTTTAGCGGAGTGGAGTAAGTGCAGAGGCGCTTGAGGACAGAGCGACCTAGATGACAGTGCTGCCAGAATAATCACCCCCTCCCAGACAAGCCTGGACCGAAGCGCTGCTGCAGGAGCGTTCGCCGTGTGATGTCATTCTTATTACGCCTCGGCCTCACTCCGCACTACAGACGGCCCTCATGAATATTCTCCAGCTGACTTTCGGGTCTCTGTTGCTCACAGTAACACAAATGATAAGCGGAGCCTGTGAGATTTTAACAGTATGTAACATTCCGGCTCGCTGTGTCCCTGTGAATGCGGTGTGAATAGGATATATATATCACATTAATACTGGGCCGAAATAGACAAACCTGCGCAAAACAACACTACACGGAGCCCAACTTAGATCAGTGACTCTGAGACTCAGCTGCGTAATGGATTTTAGTTAGTTTGGCTAAAAATAGATGGGAAAAAAAATGCAATTCTCACTTTGACATGCAGGGCCAATGCATTTCCAACGGGCATCAGTAATTTGTGGATGTCTATAAAGGCAGACGTCGTTTTCACTCAGTTTTGGTTGGGAGTGCACATCTACCAACCGTTTTTGCTGATATTTTGCTCTTCTGTTGGAGTTTTGTGCATAAAAGCATTTAGTAAATGAATAAATGTAAATTACCGTCACACAGATTAAGAATGGAAGAGAGGTGACTGACTTTTCCGTTTAAATGTATTTGTGTATTTGTGTTGTCAATATTACATCCAGTACACACTTATCTGCCTTCTCTTTCTTATTGAAGTTATTTGCTGAAAGTTTAAGTGAATCCCAGACAATTGCTTAGTTACACAATCACCATGGTTATTTAATTCAGACTTAATCAGGATAATGTTCTTCAGTATGAGGCAACATAACAAGATATTAATACTTTTATTCAGGAAGGACACATTATTGATCAAAAGTGGCAGTAAATATTGCTTAATAATCGCTTTTTGTGTGTAATTTATTGCTTATTTTAGTAAGTTTTGCATGAGGATTGTCATTTTGGAGAGTTCGTGTCAAATATGACAAATTGCCATATGTTTTACGGCCCAAATAGATCTGCTGTAGGTGAATCTAGCCATGGTTAATAGAAATGCTTTTCCTGTTTTGCAGGTTATAGCCTCTCCAGTCTCTCAGCCGAAGACAGTGAGAAGTGGGAGAGTCGCAGGCTGTTGCAGGACTTTGACGTTGACAACAACTACACTGATGCGGTGCAGGTTGGGCCCAATGCTGAAAAGAACTGCACACCGCCTGGTAAGAGATTTAGCACCACACACATAAATCCTCACACAATCTACCTGCTCTTTGAGTTCAACAGAGCAGATGAAACAGGAAGATGATTGTTTTGTTTTGTTTTCAGATGACAGATTTTTTTTTTTTGTCAGATGACTAATGTCACTATTAACTGGAAACAACATCACAATGTTATTAAGCAAGAAGTCATGCGAAGTTTCACTTCTGAAATTGGGATGTGTATCAGACTTCAATGAAATTTGCTTTTTAAATGAAATATTCTCATGTCTCTTGTTTGTTTTCCACTGATTTGTGAGTTCACAAAGGTGTCAGTCCTTTATCAGGACGTTCATGTCATCAGTAATTTAGACACTAACCCTTTTGTTGCGTTCTGAGTGAGTAATCTTGCTGACGCAGACTTTGCTATTGTTTCTTTTGGGGATCTCTGCTGGGAACATAAAGTGTATTTCAAACTGTAGAGAGCTGTGAGCCATGGCCAGGTCAAAAGTTAAACATGGATTTCTGGCCAAGTTGAAGACCAAACATGTCACCTAATTAAGACATTAACCTCTACAAATGGGGTCTGTGCTCTGCGCTAAGAAAAGTCATTGTCCAAATTTAATAGAACTTCATCAGCTGCTATGGCTTAGTTTGCTTTGCAATTTGGTTGATGTCTGTACAATATCTCACGTTAAACATATTCACACCTACTTTCTGACAGAATTACTATATAAACAATTTGACGTTTCCAATCTGCTCCTCATAATTTTTCCGCATTGTTATTCATTGTTTATTTGCACAGTTGTGTAGATCTGCTGTGTAATTTGATTCATGAGGCTACATTGTGCTCCACACTCTTGGACAATGTGAAGAGGCCAATTAGAACAGGTTTGAGGGAAAGGCAAGGCTGAACAAAGGGGTCATCGATACTAGGTGGGTCTATTGATTGACCGTCTCCCTCTTCTTTCAAAGCCCTCCTCTTTCCCCCCTCCAATCCATTAACCATAGATGGGGATCTAGAACTGCACAGTGCACACTGTTAGTATCTAATTCCATTTCATTACTCTGTTTGTTTGTTGCTCAGGAACTTAATGCATATTCATATAGTCAGACCTTTCTATTGTATATATGTTTTATATAGTGGCCCCAAAAAGTATTTGGATAACAGCCAGAAATTGAATTATATCAAAACCACGGGCAAATATTTCACAGACCTACAGGCAAAACATATACTGCACAGACCGCAATAGCAAATAATTTCACAGAATTAAGTGTGAAACTAGAAACCAGTCTGTTTTTGAATTATATAAAATAACAGACATGGCTAATTGGTCAAAGTTTTGGGGTTGGTACAATTATACAGTATTTACTGCATTTAAAAGAATCTCTTATGCTCATCAAGGGTGCATTTATTTAATCAATAAGGGTGCGTTTTTTAAATCGTTTATTTAATCAATAATAAAGTAAAAACTGTTGTGAAATATTACTGTTTTCTATTTTTTGAATATATGTTATTTAATCCTGTGATGGCAAAGCTGGATTTTTTTTTTAGCAGATATCAGTTCAGTCTTCAGTGTCACATGATCCTTCAGAAATCAATCTAATATGCTGATTTGCTGCTCAAGAAACAAAAAAATATTATAATTTTGGAAACAGTTGTGCAGCTTAATATTTTTGTATTTTGGATTTGTTTGATGAATAGAAAGTTCAAAAGAGCAGACAATATTTGAAATAGGCATCTTTTATGTGTGCTTGACTAATAAAAGTATTAATTTATTCTTTAAAAAAAATCTTACTGACCTCAAACTTTTAAATAGTAGCAAACACTGTTCAAATTGAAGACAAAAATCGGTTAAAAATAATTGCACAAATGGCTTAAAAAGCATGAAGTTTGATTATGGGAATTATTTGAGTGTTATTTGTTCGCAGATGTCACTTAGTTTGATATTTTGCTTTTAATGCAATGAAACTATGCGTATATTGTTAAACATAGTTAGAGTGTACTTAGGGGCCACTGTATGTTGTAAATACTTTTATTTTATGTGTTGGCAGGAATTTTATTTTATATTATGTGGTAAAATTAGAAAAAGGAGTGTTTTAGGCTTAAGGGAAACACTTAATCCGCAGTGAACTCAGAAGAATGTCAAGTCTTATGGAGAGTGAGATAGAGCAAAACTTATGATTTGACATCTGTCCAGAATTAAAACAGAGTAGGTCATTTTCCATGGGGAGCCATTGTATTTACAGTGAGATCAGTGTGTTACGGCCCGGCTCTGCTGTTATGAGGTGTAAAGGGAGCAGCTTTGCGTCTTTATCCCAGCGTGGCCTGCCTGCTTTTGTTTGTGTTTTTTTCTGTGGGCGGATTTGGGTGAATGTTTCCAAGTGGGGTCCTGGTGTTTTAGGAGGCTGTGTTCCTTGCCAAGCATCTCCTTGATCTTGCCGTTAAAGAGTGAGCTGTGCTCTTAAGCTCTTGCTTGTGTCCAGATGCCCGCTCTCCCACCCGTCTCCAAAACCAGCCTGGCGCCTTGGCACAGGCTGAGGGTTTCCTTACTCTGCTGTTTAAACCTATTCTTCCTTTAATACAGCTGTAGAAGTCTACACAATACACTAGAGAATAGGTCTTGCTCATTTCTTGATATTCAAACCTGTTTTTTGCTACACATGTGCGAGTGTTGAGATCAAGAAGCGCATTTAAATGCATGAGTGAATGTCCTATGTTATCATTACAAACTACAGGAGTCACTCCTGAACTTGTGATGCCACATTTTGGTCTCATGGCTGCAAACAAGAAATTTGGACATTAAAAGTATAGGCTATTTTTGACAAAGTGATATTAGTCTAATATCACTTTGTGAAAAATAGCCTATACTTTGACTGTGTCGGGACAGAGGGTCCTTGTTTTGCCTTTAAAATCAATACTTTATTCACCAAGGTATTTCTATTTTAAGCATAAATTTTGGAAATATTATTTTAAATAATAGCAGTTGTTTATTTTCTGTTCATCAAGAATCATGAATAAATATATCATGATTTTCACAAAATATTAAGCAGCACAACTGTTTATAATATCTTAAGCACCAAATCAGCTAATTTGAATGATTTTCGAAGAATTGTGTGACACTGAACGGGCCAATCAAATTGCCAGGGCGGGCTTTATACGATGATGGACAGGTGATCTGCAGGGACGTAATCATCACGTTATCAAAGAGCGCTTGTCAAAGATGACTGCAGCTGGAGAATTGAGATGTATAGATTCCGCTGTCGCGTCTTTTGTAAAATAAAACGACAGCACATTCATTTTAATAGACAAACAGAGAACTGCAATCAAGGCATTTGTCGATCGGAAAGATATTTTTGGCATGCTTCCTACATGATTTGGGAAAAGTGTAACTTATCAGCTGCCTCTGACGGTCGTTAAGAAGATGGAACGTAATGAAAAGCCTGTGGTCGTTGTGGTTTCTCCTTTGGTGGCACTCATGGAGAAGTAAGTAAAAGAAGCAACACTCGTTATTTAACTTCTAAAATAAATAAAGTTAGGCTACGTTCTGTATTTGAAAACTGCGCTATGCAAAGGAGTTGACTTACTGCGTTGCTCTGATTGGTTGTAGGTCTACCGACTATCCAATTGAATGCAGAGGTTTTTTTTCCCTGGTTCGGTTAAGACACGCCTCATAATCAAAGCCTAATGGAGCGGTTTCAGACTCATATTCTCTCTTGAATATGAGTATGACGAAGTCAGGCTAGTTTTTAGCTGTATTGATGATCAAAATGTTAACATGTTACTTGTAATTTAGGCCTATATATATAAGTATAATTGATAATACTTATAATTATACTTACTTATAATATAATTATAATAAGTATAATTGTTAATTTTTATAAGTGTTTTAATTATAATAATGTTATAATTTTATTTACAACTGCTTTTGACAGTGTGTTCGCCCTTTTTCAGCATTCTTTCATCCTTAATGTATTAGTAGTCATTTAATTTCTCCTGTGTTCTCCCATGAATCTTTAGGAGTTCTGCTTGTGCACAGATCCTCTTCGGCACTTCCTCAATATTCACAAGTGCATCATAACAATCAGACAACCCGTCATTAGCTTGATTACTGAAGCTAATGAGCTGTTAATTATCTCGTCATCCATCAACTTCCATTGTCTGTCACACAGCATTTAATGTTGCTCAAGCTATAACAGTGACTGACTGGAAGCAATGCTGACCTTTGAACGTGTCACAATTTCCAGAATTTCTGAATTATTATATTATTATTATTTTCTTTTCAGTGACATTTTTACATTTGTGAGGGCTTTTTTTTTACAGTTTTATTAATTCTTAAATACTTATATATAGTCATTTAATATAAATTACTTAATAAATAAACAATTACTGCTAACCTATAAAACCAGATTACATTCAATTACAAAATGCATTTTAAATTTGACATTTAATCTGAAGCACCGTGAATTCTTCCCTCAGTCGTTTTAGAACTTATTTCTTTAATTGTTACATATTGTTTCTATAAAAAAACTTTTTTTATAGTATGCATCTAAGATGAATGATCTTGCTCATTGTGTCATTTGTTTTTTACATATTAAATGCCATTTGCATTTGCCATGTCCTACTGTGACTGAGCAATCATTTGCAATCATTTTCATCTATCTTATTATATTGTGTTCACTTCCTCTAGTTGAAGTGCGCTCCTGTTTTTGTGTTTCTATCTACGCAGTTGAACATTTGGCTAGCAGATGAGTCATGTGACCTGACCTTTGCGAGCTGTACTGACATTAGGCTTACGGCAGAGAGAATAGGACTGTTGAAATGTGACTAGACTTTGACGATCTGGCAGATGATTAAAATGCTTTCTCTCACCTTTTTCACCTGTCTATTCTCTCTTTATTTCCTCTTTGCAGTTACCATGCTGATATCCTCCATAAAGACCACAATGTTTTTTTTTTGTTTTTTGTTTTTTTATCTTTATCTAATTTAGTCACATGCTAATGTGAAGTTTCAAATAGTAGTG